CCACTTCTGACATGAAGGCAGGGGAGTGGAGGAAGACACAATACACAGGTGGGGCAGGACTTCAGGATGTGTGAAGACCAGAATAGAGAGGAGACAAATGGGGTACAAGTGGTGGGGAAAGAGGTAGGAAAACAGGGCCAGAGAGCAGCTCCTGGGGCAGATGGGGAGAACAGGGCATGGTGGAAAGGGGCTGACCACAGCGGGTAAGGAGCAGACCTCAGGGGATCATCAGGTGCATGGAAAAATGCAAGGACTACAAAAGGGGGAGGGTCCCTGACCATTGTGGATCCCCCTTGAGCCTGGGACTGTCCGAAGCCCCTGCCTCCCCTCCCATCTTACCCTCCAGGCTCTTGGGTGATGGGTTCATCCTGCTTCCCAGACCTGCCTAGTCTCTGTTGCAACAAGTAGCCGCCATGTCCTTTCAGCACTAGCAGTTGAGGACTTGGCAGCTGGCATGAAGCAGAGCTGGACCCTGGAGTCAGCCAAGTCTGGCGACAGCACACTCCATCCCAGCCAAGTTTTACAAATGTGTTAGAGAAGGGGGGAAATAGCCATTTGGCTTCTCTCTAGTGCAGCTGGGTGCAGGATGTCATGTGGAAGATGGGGAACAGGAAAGCTAGGATAGTGTGGATGGGGGCTAGGGTATGGAGGGAAAGGGTATCTTGGGCTGGAGTAGCACAATAGGAGATGAGGACCACTAGGACAGGAGGGGTACGTAGGGGGTGTCACATCTGCCACTGGGGCAGAGCCCTCATTCTTTGACTCTTCCACAGGCAGGCCTGCAGTGATTAAGCTGAGCCCAGCAGCTGTATGGTTCACACAGTGACCTGTGCTGGGAGATGCTGATGTGCATTAACAATTTGTTTATGCACTTTGATCTAGTCCTCTTTGAAACCAGATTAGCATCAAGTGTTTTAAGGAACCATTAAAGCAGCATCCACAGACAACCCACACCACAGCAGCTAGCATGGGGCAGAACATGCCCTCGTGAACCATGATTCTGCTACTCTAGGCAGCTGCCTTGTTTACCTGTGCCTACAGCAGCCTCTACCCCCATGCTCAGTATTCCTCACTGAAGACATATGCCTGCCAGCCCATCTCAGCTGATTGTACAACTGTGCCACATGAGATACTTATTTTAATTGGCATGTCTATAGCATCTGCTAATAATGTTACTCCCTGCTCTTTAAGAGAAAACTTATATCCCCAGCAGTGAGCTTGACAGCTTCCTGCTGCAGTGAGTTCCACAGGCTGAGTGCAGATTTCATGGAGAAGTCTTTGGTCCCATTCACATCTACCTGTGTTCTCTCCCTCTAGCACAGATTCCAGTTAGCCGAGGTGACTGGGAATCATTTTGTGCATCTGAATGAGCCTGAAGTAGTGGCAGGGATCATCAACGCTTTCCTAAAGAGGGACCAGAGCTCCAAAGCCAGGCTGTAGGCTAGAATCCTGCATCAGGGCTTGGTTACCTGCTTCCTGGGGGAGACAGCAGCAGTGACAAGAGAGCAAAGAGCATAACAGCCTTGGAGACTGAACTTAACCGATCTGGGCCCTGCAATTTGCCCATTACGTGATTTTCATTCCTCTTCTGAACCCTGGGAATGGCAGAAAGCACCCAGGCAGGGAGGAGTTTCCGTAAGGAAGAGCTGAGTAAACTCCCATGTGTTCAAATGCAGATGGGGATGAGATCTACCTCATGCCTCCACTTCACCTGCTACACGAACAGCTTTTGGATTTAAGGTCTAGCTCCCTGTTAAACCTTGTGCAGTTTCATCAGCAGAAAGCAACCTCCTGTGTTTCATTTTGTTGAGATGCTGCCCTGGGAAGACTGGGTGGATAAGCCTGCACTTCCCCACCACTACCTACTGCTTATAATAGAGAGAGTGCTTATGCATAAATATACAAGAAAAACTTTGCAGCATTAACACTATGAACAGCAGCAACCACAAACATTTTCTAGCGTCCCCTCAAAGTGAGCAGTTAGCTTGTAACTGACACCAAAAGTGGCCCCAATTTTCCCATGTACTAAACAAGCACTAGTCTAGCTGCCATCACTGTAGTAAAGGGGGGTCACTTACCCTGAAAGAGAGCTGGGCTGTTAAAACAGTCACCTGTACTTGAAAGAAAGGGTGGGAGAGGGAAGAATCAGGCCTGTGGGGGCTTCCCTCCCCTAGACAAACCTATACAGACAGGCCCCCTTGTGCTGTCAAACACAAGACACTTTGGGGCTGTGTCCTTGTGAATTTACTGAAACACAGGAGAAGCCAAGTAGCTCAACGCCCTTACAGGCACAAGCAGGAGGCCCGTGGCAGCTTCTAGTGCTCCACATCCTTGACAGCAGGGTGGGAATCAGGAACAGCCTAGTGAGCCCACAAGCAATACCACCACGGTGCTCACCCCTAGCTGTTTCTGAAAAGGCCTTGGGGACATGAGCATTCCCCACTCCATCTCACTTCCCCAATGGTGCTGGAGCTAGCAATGCTGCTGCACCCCGGGGCTTGAAATGATTTCTATTACATACAGGCTACGTCTAGATTGGCATTATTTTCCAGAAATGCTTTTAACGGAAAAGTTTTCCGTTAAAAGCATTTGCGGAAAAGAGCGTCTAGATTGGCACGGACGCTTTTCCACAAAAGCACTTTTTGCGGAAAAGCGTCCATGGCCCATCTAGATGCGCTTTTCCGCAAAAAAAGCCCCGATCGCCATTTTCACGATCGGGGCTTTTTTGCGGAAAACAAATCTGGGCTGTCTACACTGGCCCTTTTGCGCAAAAGTTCTGTGCAAAAGGACTTTTGCCCGAATGGGAGCAGCATAGTATTTCCGCAAAAACATTGACAATCTTACATGAGATCGTCAGTGCTTTTGTGGAAATTCAAGTGGCCAGTGTAGACAGCTGGCAAGTTTTTCCAGAAAAGCGGCTGATTTTCTGGAAAAACTGGCCAGTCTAGACGCAGCCACAGAGTTTAGGCCAATGGCTCTCAAGTCCCCCTCCCCCCTACAGAATGTTTCTGTGCCCTTCTCCCCTCTTTCCAAATAAGAGCAATGTGTGTGAAAGAACCACCCCTCCCAAACTGAAGGGGAATGCACCAGGGAAGGCAATACATTAGTTGGGCCTGGATTAGGGCAGGAGCTGTGCCCAGCACATGCTACATAGAGTACGCAGCCCTGGTATTCACTCAAGCAGGCATGTGAAGAGCTGCTCACTGAGGGCTAACAAGGGCAATAAGGCAGCACATAGGAAACAGGCAGTTTATTTACCATTTGCTGCTTTTGATACAGCAGCAGCTCCCTTGTGGTCGTCACAGGCCCAAGGGTGGGCCTCTTGCTGGGGGATCCAGTTTAAGACAGATGCCCAGAGGGGACAGTGCAGCAAGATAACAGGTGAAAGTTGAGTACGGGGGGTGCCAGCCCACTCAGCTAAGAGGGACTGCAGCCCATGAACTGCACTTAATGGAGGTTTCTGTGCCTGACTCACTGCCCCACCGGCATATTGAGCAGATGAAAAGCTTCACCCAACTGTCCATTTGTGACCCACTGGGGATTTCCCATGTAGGGCCCAGCTTACAGCAGAGGGAACAAGTTGGCTCCATAGCACTTTGTAGAGGCCCCTCAGTGTGATCAGTCTGAACTCAACGCGCCCTCCAGGGAAACGGGCAAGGAAGCAGCAGTGCCCAGAGTGGCTCAATATGGCCGGAACTTCCGCTGGGCCCGCATCAGCGCAATCCTCTGCTTGTCCTCCTCAAACTTCTTCCTCAGCTGGGCTATGTCTGCAAGGAGGAAGAAGGGTTGGGGGCAGCAGGACCAGGATGGGCATGGTCACAGTAACAAGAGCAGCAGAGTTACATTCCTGTACCGTGAAGCCTCACAAAAGCACTTCACTGGGAAGCAAGTTTGTCCCAGCAAAAGTGGGCTCAACAGTCACTGAAGTGGGTGCAGTTCCCATTCCACCAGTACTGAATGTGGGGCTGCATATATAGGGATGCACTCATCCACCACTGCGCTGCAGCTCCCTTTTGGATGGAACGTGACACTGTTTACTTTTACACAGCTGCCTGTACGCAGCCAGTGAAAGTTACAGTCACTGGGAATTCAAGGGGAACTGAGAGAACACAAACTGTTTACTTTTACACAGCTGCCTGTATGCAGCCAGTGAAAGTTACACTCACTGGGAATACAAGGGGAACTGAGAGAACACAGGAATTTGGACAGGATGCTTACTGGGGCTAACAAATGGGTTCTAAAAAAGAACAGCACAGACTCAAATCAATGAAAGTAAGAGCAAGGATCTATGATCATGTGCCATTCAGCCAAGCACCCTCCAGCACTCTGCTAGGTATTGCTTCTGCACTAACAGAGGGGAAAAACATGACCATCGATCAATACCAGGACCCTGGGTTTTCTTCCAAGGTCTCCCATCCAAACAGTAATCAAACCCTGCCCTGTTTAGCTCCCAAAATCCAACAGGATCATGGCCTAAAGTGATGCAGCTGACAGCAGGAGAGCAGCATGGCCAGGTCTCACTCATCAGCATTGGTGACAATCTGGACTGGTGAAGACAGGCAGGGGCAGGAAATGACTACACTATACAACTCACTTTCTCTCTTGGTCTCACGGTGCTGCCAGGCGTAGAAATTGAGCAGCTCCTTGCGTGCCCTCTTTCGCTTCTCCCTCTCCAGCACCCGCAAGCTGGCAGCCTCTGTCCGGGGAAGTCCTGGTCTTCGGCCTTTGCGTGTTACCTTCACCCATCCCTCCTTGTCCGGAATACCCTCCTCCTCCTCCGCTTTGGCTTCTTCCTACATGAGGAGGATAAGAGAGAACGCAGCTTAGTCCACACCTGTCACGAGATGGCCAGTTCCATTCCACAGCAGTTGCCTATCACCCAGCAAACGCCTCCCTCACACTCCAAGCGCCCGTTGCTCTGCCATACGAGAAGGCCCAGGTCAGTGTTCTGGCAGAGCTGCAGAATTGTGATACTCAGTGGCTGACAATGTGAGCAACAGCATCCCAGCCAGGGGAGCCACTGGGTCATCCAAGGGTGGGTATGTTTCTGGTCACTATAGCACACTTTGTGGGAAAGGTCCTGGGGCTTTGTCAGACGCAGCACCAGGGCACCGCCTGCCAGCAACTGAGACGGCCACCAGAGTCCCAAAGAAGAGATTGTGCGCAGCACCAGGGCACCGCCTGCCAGCAACTGAGACGGCCACCATAGTCCCAAAGAGATTGTTCCCAGCCAGCCACGCAGATAAAGAGCATGGACAAACCGACAGTATGTGAAACGCTGGAAGACCAGAGCATTCCTGTTGTTATGCAAAGAGCTACTCTGTCCAACATGAACAGGCCAGTCAGCAATGACAATCTCCAAGGAGTTGCTAGGCTCAGAGAATCCCTTAAGAAAAGATGCCTGCTTTATCTCATCTGTCCTCCCTACCTCTGCTATTTTCTGGTCATAGGTTTGCATGAAGGTGTCCACTTCAGCCTTCAGCTCCGCTTGATCCACCAATGAAGCTGCATAACTAGCAATCCACTCTGAGACAAGGAGGGAAAAAGTCAGTGGCTGCCTCGGCAGTGAGCCCATCTTCAACAAGAGGCCTCAGTGCAGGTCTGAAGAGAACAACTCTTGGGCCAATCTCCATGCATCACTTCTGGGCCTGCCTGCTGACATTCATTCATTCTTTCAAATATTTTTACTCCACCTCTCTATTTAAAATATTTGAGGCGGCTTTCAAAAAAATGTTTAAACGCAATACAAATATATATAAAAATTTAAAATACGAGACCCCAAAGGGACATACACCTGCTAAAAACATATAGAGAAGAGGAACGCACACATATAGACTCAAACATTAATGGCCAGCAAGGAAGCCAATGAATGATAAATATGGCCAGTGGTTTGTGGGACCTGGACATCTTTCTCATCATGATCTGGGATGACACCTGCCAGGTCTTTTCACACAGGCCAACAAACAGCAGTGTGACGAGAGCAACATATAGCCACTCGTGTCTAGGGTTGGGGAGAATCCAGTGTCAGAGCAGAGTGGCTCTATGCCCCACTACACAAGCCAGCCAGGGCCCTAAACAGTCAAGAGTTCGAATGTCAACAGTAACTCCCTCTGCTGTGAGGACCTAGCATCCCCCTCCAGGGCATCACATCGTTCTAATCTAAAGCAAGTCAGCCAGCAATAGTGGGAGGTGCAAAGCACAGGAAATCCTGGCTTCACCATGGCCTGCGCTCCAAGTTGGGTAGCTCATTAATGTCAATAAAGCACCCTGTCAAGGCCAGCTCCCCCAAATGAGAGAAGATTCTGAAAGACTATGGAGAGCGGTCACACACCTAGTGTGAGATGCTCCAAATGGAGTGAGTGAAGAATTAAAGGAATGCAGAACAAAAGAAGGAGCAGGGGAAATGCCGGACAAACTCTGTGCTCCATAGGGCATGTGAGAATCACTGTTGAGAGGTGATTGACACATTATCTGGATGGCCCTGGTATGGTGTGCAGTAGAGCCAGGATCAGAAACCCTCGGATATACTCCCCAAGCCTGGAGAGCACAGAGTGACTTACTGTGGATGCCAGTTTTCACAGGGTGATTCTCTGATGATAACTCCAGAGGGCCCTGTAGTGATAGGGACTTGGCTGCCTGTACCCCAGCTGGATTCTTAAACACCACGTAAGCTACTCGGAATCCCTAGGGAAAAGGCAACAGATTGGTACAGTCAGGGACTGATCAGCGCCCCCAGAGCAAACAGGCCCACAGAACAGCAGCTTTATTAGAGAAACAAGGCCCCAGCCAGTACTGAGGTTGCCAGGAGACAGTTTAAAAAAAAGTCATAGAATCATATAATCCTAGAACTGGAAGGGACCTTGAGAGGTCATCAAGTCCAGTTCCATACCCTCACTGCAGAACCAAGCACCAACACCCTTTATTAGAGAAATAAGGCCCCAGCCAGTACTGAGGTTGCCAGGAGACAGTTTAAAAAAAAGTCATAGAATCATATAATCCTAGAACTGGAAGGGACCTTGAGAGGTCATCAAGTCCAGTTCCATACCCTCACTGCAGAACCAAGCACCAACACCAGGGCTACTTAAACTTTGGAAGCCCCGGGGGCCACAATGATACACACAGCACATGCCAAGGGCCATAACTTAAGGCATATACATGCAAATATCTATGCAAATAGATTCTTTCACACTGACAGACACGAATACGAAGATTAAGCTTTAAGCAGCGGTGCCGGACCCAAACATGGCTAAGCAGCCAGCACTTCCCATAAAGCCCCAGCACCTCCTTCCTGGGGGCTAGAAACACTGACACACTGTACCCGTCTGTTGCAGCCAGCCCATCCACTTGTGTCTTTCAATCCTCACTCCACCTGAAAGATGCCTCGCTGTTGTGGAGTGTGTTCCCAGAGGAGGCCATGTTCAAAGGATCGTACCCGCAGGCCACATGTTGAGCCCCACATAAACCCAAACTGTACCGCAGGCTGCAGGCTGTGTATTGAGTAGCCCTGGTCTAGACCATCCCTGATAGACATCTATCTAATCTGCTCTTCAATATCTCCAGAGACAGAGATTCCACAATCTCCCTAGGCAACTTATTCCAGTGTTTAACCACCCTGACAGGAAGTTTTTCCTGATGTCCAACCTAAACCTCCCTTGTTGCAATTTAAGCCCATTGCTTCTTGTCCTATCATCAGAAGCCACGGAGAACAATTTTTCCTCCCTCTTCCTCATGACACCCTTTTAGAAACTTGTTCCTTTCTCAGGCTGTGTCCAGACTCAGGGGTTTTTTCGGGAAAAGTAGCCTTTTTCCGAAAAAACTTCACCTGCGTCTAGACTGCAGCCGCGCTCTTTCGAAATTAAATCGAAAGATTGCGGCTTTTCTTTCGACGGTGGTAAACCTAATTCCACGAGGAAGAACGCCTTCTTTCAAAAGTGCTCTTTCGAAAGAAGGCGTTCTTGAAAGCAAACAGGCTTTTTAGAAAGAGAGCATCCAGACTCACTGAGTGCTTTCTTTCGAAAAAGCGGCTTGCTTTTTCGAAATTCCGCGTGCAGTCTAGACGCTCTCTTTTGAAAGAGGCTTGCAGTCTAGACATAGCCTCAGTCTTCTCCTTTCCAAACTAAATAAGACCAGTCCTTTCAGTCTTCCCTCATAGCTGATGTTCTCTAGACCTTTAATCATTCTTGTTGCTCTTCTCTGGACCTTCTCCAATTTCTCCACATCTTTCTTGTAATGTGGTGCCCAGAAATAGACAGAATACTCCAACTGAGGCCTGATCAATGGAAGAATGACTTCTTGTGCCTTACTTACAACACTCCTGTTAATGCATCCCAGAATCATGTTTGCTTTTTTTTTGCAAGTGTCACACTGTTGGCTCATATTTAGCTTGTGGTCCACTATGACCCTAGATCCTTTTCTGCAGTACTCCTTCCTAGACAGTTGCTTCCCATTCTGTATGTGTGAAAATCAAAGAATTCGTCAGGGGGCCTCTTTCCCCACCAACACTTGAGTTTTTTCCCCCATGCTAGCTCCTCCAACATGCTCCCTTTCCCACTGCTCTTCTCAGAGTTTCCCTTGAATTTTACCGGAACTGTCTTGAGATTGAAGAATTTGGACTTGGGTGTCTTTGGTTTCTCTTCTGGCCCTGGTTTCTCACACATGACCACAGACTGGACAGATGAACAACAGGAAAACAGTCGGGACAGACATGCCTAATACGAGAGAGAGAGAGAGAGAGAGAAAATTACATGTGCTCTCCCATTGAGAGACGGGGGCTACAGTCTTCTATAGATACCCCATTTCCGCTCTACTTCCAAAGAAACCACATTATGGCCATTGCCATCCTCCTCTGAGGTGCTTTATTGGAGAAATAAGGCCCCTAATCCTTTGGCCAGTGAGGTGGCTTATTGGTTGGACTTTTAAAAGCAACTATATCCTACACCTCTGTGCTGACTGAGCAAGCTTAAACCAGTTTCCTTGTGGAAGAGGTGTAATATAGTTCTTAGACTTCTGCCTTATAGTATCAATATGCAGCTCCCTTGAGTTTAAGGAAGGTACCTGGGCAAATCTCTGGCAACTCTCTATGGGTTCTGGATATGTCACAAGATGGGAGGAGCACCAAGCAAATTTACCTTTTTTATAGGCAAGAACAAAGATATGAACTTAAGTGATCACACTGTACCTTGCAACAGATATAAAGGGTGATTTTCAAAACCTCATTAGCTCATCAATATGAACATTTGCTCCACACTACAGCTGTCTTTGACTAGATACTCTGGGTTAAAAGGTATTAAACTACATCTACACTGGATCCCAAACAGCATTTCAAACGGGGTCAGCTAACAAACAAAACATATTCTCCATTATTCTAGACCAGGGGTGGGCAAATACCAGCCCATGGGCCAGATTCGGTCCACCAAGGTTAGCTCCTGACATGCTCCCACCCCTATATTTACCTGCATAGCTACAGATATTGGTGATTGCAGCTCCCATTGACTGTAGATTGTTGTTCCTGACTAATGGGAGCTGTGGGAAGCGGTATCCTGAGCCACACTGCTTCCTGCTGCTCCCATTGGCTGGGAATGGTGATCCATAGCCAACAGGAGCTGTGATCTCTGGTACCTGCAGCTGTGCAGGTAAATATAGCAGTGACAACTGCCACCATGTTATTGCCTACCCCTGTTCTAGACAAAGCTTCAGAGGGAGCATGACCTTTAAGTCTTCATCACCCTCTTCCCGCACCACTGTTTGGTCCTTGTAGCTCTCCCATACAAGTAGTAACATATTTGTCACACCAGCCCTCAGTAAAAAGACATTTACTTATTCCTTTCATAACTTCTTCCAGCCCAACAACTCACCTTTGTGCAATATGGGGGGATATTAAGGACAAAAAGAGTGCGGTTTGCAGGGTGGGTTGTATTGGTGCCTTCTCGGACTTTGTGTTCCTTCACATACAGAAAGTGAGGCGACTGTTGCTTCTTAGACAGCTTAACTGGAATAGCTAAATGGGATAATTTTTAAAGAGGTGCAGCAATTTACAGCAACTGACTTCAGCAAAGTATCAACTTCCAGAAAACATTTTAGGATGCAGCACCATCAACTATTGGCTCCATTACCTAACCAGGTTCTACCTGGCTTCCAGAGATGTGTCTTCAGATCCTCCCAACACCCACCAGTTCTGACAACTCAGGAAAGTGCATCAATCTGCAGAGTGTTTTACTCATGGCTAGGGAATCCAGAAATCCATTTTCCAAAGGAAAAAGTGTAACTGGCATTTTTACAGATACACTTTTCCAGCCACCCAGCTCTGAAGGCAGAGTGGCGAGCAGCAGCTGATGGCCTGGGTCCCAGCTCTGAAGGTGGCACCACCCAGGTGTTTGCAGCTTGCCTGCCACCTTTAGAGGCTACCACGGTGCTGCCTTTCGAGCTGGGCGGCTGCGGAGTAAGCCTGTTCATTGTATTTGATTTCAGTGACTGATGGCACTGAGGAGACTTCACACTTGCTTCTCCAGGGGTAACTAGATCGGTAACCCATGACCGCTGGGTCCCAGCTCTGAAGGTGGCACCACCCAGGTGTTTGCAGCTTGCCTGCCACCTTTAGAGGCTACCACGGTGCTGCCTTTCGAGCTGGGCGGCTGCGGAGTAAGCCTGTTCATTGTATTTGATTTCAGTGACTGATGGCACTGAGGAGACTTCACACTTGCTTCTCCAGGGGTAACTAGATCGGTAACCCATGACCGTGCGGCCGAGGAAGGGGAACTCCAGCATTGCCTTTACACCCTGGGGGCGGGGGGGCTTTGTTCTGGGGCGGGGAGAAGGGAAGTCGCAGGAAACCGGGGTCCCTGCTTACGACCCCGGAGCTGGTGGGTTTGCTGCGGCATCGGGCCAGGGGCTGGCGCCC